CCAACATATCGAGATGCAGCACTTCTACGAGGTTTATTAAGTAAAGACAATCACTGTGAAGAATGTATGTCTGAAGCTCTTTTGTATGAAATGTCTGCTGTGTTAAGATGTCTCTTTGCTACGCTTCTTACGCTTTGCAATCCTAATCATCCAATGCTATTGTGAGTTTAAGGTCTATATGATCGATGACTATGTACATCAAAATATACCTACAAAGATTGCTGAAATGCGAGCTTTAGAAGACATTAGTTGTATTTTGGAATCACTGGGTAAAAACATAAATGATTATGCAATGGTGTCATACAATGTAAATATCGATGAGACTGAAAGATTGAGAAGAATGGTTGAAGAGGAGACAACTAATTTTGATACTCAAGGAGGACTTTCTTGTGCAAAAACACTAAATAAAGAGTAACAATTTACATATGATACTATCATGGAAAAAGTGAAATCAGAATCATATGGTGCTTTCTTCTTTGATGGTCCAAGTGGAACAGGCAAAACTTTTTTATATAAAACACTTTTGGCAGGTGTACGGTCACAAAATTTAATTGCTTTAGCAATAGTATCATCTGGAGTATCTGCATCTCTTTTACTTGGAGGCTGAATTGCTCATTCAAGATTTAAGATTCCTTTGGAAATAGTCGGTGAAATATGTTGTTCTGTTAGCAAGCAATCGGCTTTGGGAACCTTGTTGAAAATGTCTAGGTTAATTATTTTGGATGAAGTACTGATGGTCAATCGTTCCACTGTAGAAGCTGTAGATAAAATGCTAAGAGATATTACCGATTGTAATTTACTCTTCAGCGGGAAAGTTGTAGTTCTTGGAGGAGATTTTCATCAAATTCTACCAGTTTTGTAGAAAGGTAAAAAGCACGATATAATGAAAGCTAGCTTAGTTTTTTCGGACCTATGGCTTTATATAAGCATCTACCATTGATCGAAAACATGAGGGCTAAACTGGATCCCACATTTTGTAGTTACTTGCTAAGAATTAGAGATGGAACAGAGAGAGAACATAATTGTAATTGCATTAAACTTCCAAAAAATATAGTTTTACCATTTGAAGATGAAATTACATCTTTAAAAAAATTGATACATCATGTTTTTCCAAATATAGAAGCATGTTCTGATGATCTCCATGTAATGGCAAATAGAGTTATTCTTACACCTACAAATTAATGTGTTGATCATATTAACAAAATTTTACTTGAACAAATTTTGGGTGAAATTTACATATACTATAGTTTTGATGAAGCAATTGATAAGTCAGAACAAAACTTACAAGAGGATTTTTTAAATAGCCTAACTCCAAATGGTATTCCTCCTCATGAATTGATGCTTAAGATAAACTGCCTTGTAATGTTATTATGGAATATTAATAATTCAGAAGGGTTATGCAATGTAACACGTCTTACTTGTCGAAAATTTGAGAAGAACGTAATTCTTGCTGAAATTACAACTGGTGAATATTGTGGAAAATATGTTTTCTTGCCAAGAATCCCTTTTATACGTCTAAAAAGTGATCATAATTCAATTCAATTTAAAAGAACTCAATTCCCAATTAGGCCGTGTTTTGCAATGACAATAAATAAAGCACTAGGTCAAACACTAGATTTTATCGGTTTATATCTTCCACAACCAGTGTTTTGTCATGGTCAACTATATGTAGCATTATCAAGGACAAAAACAAGCAAATCTATCAAAGTTTTACTTAAGCCAATAAATAGTGACATTTACATGATAGATGTACAATAAATATTGTATATAAGGAATTCTTTCATTTATATGCACATAAGTTTACGACTTTTCATATTTATTTTTCCTTACAATTTCACATAATCTACGTTGTACAAGATGCAATTTATCATATCGTAAGAAGTTATCTAAAAAAAATATTTGATATAAAAAATTTACTCTTTTATTCATTTTCCTTCCATTTATTATACTTATTGTACTCATTGTTTTCATTGTTATTTTTTTTTAACTATTCCATTTTCTTACGAAGCTGATCTTGGTTATACATATTTGAAAGACTTTCTGGCTTGATACCATCTGTTATATATTCTCTCATTATTACATTTTTATAGGTAAATTTTTTCTCGACTTAACTTTTTAATTCTTCGACGAAAATATACGTAGATTCAAATATTTTATTAACTCTTGCTAGTATTTCTTACTTTATATGCGAGAAGTTTCTATTGTAGCTTCTGGGTATTTTTGTTATATGATTAAATATGTTTATGGAAATCCTAAACTTGCAACTAATGTAAGAATACTCAATCATGTAACGCAACAACATTCATTCATGTAGCATAATTGATTTAAGTGTTGAGAAATTGAAGGCATTGCGAACATAATAAGATAAAAAAATTCATTGCATTCTCTCACTAATCATATTTGAATACTATATTGTATTGTCATATGCAAAACTAAATATTTGTTTTATAAAAGACTGAACATTCTTTCTTATGCACATCCTTCCAACAATAAATTCCAGAAAAGAGCTTGGGCCAGTCACCAATTATACATATTCTTCTATATTACGAGGGGATTCCCGACAATAATTCATCTTTCATCAAATTAAAGAAATCTATTTCCTTCGACGCTTTGAGATGAAGATCAAATTCTTTTCTTACAAAAAATTGTTGAAAATGGGATTCATGTTTGCAAAAATTTCTCCCTTCTATTTCTAATATTTATAATGGATTAAATCAATGAATTAGAATGAATCAACTGATTGATGGGTCTAGATTTTTTAGACTAGGGTTAATGGATCAATAAGAAATGCCAATAAGAAATGGGAGTTAGCACTTGATTTCATTGGTACCATTCAATCGAATCAAATTCAATACTAAGGAAGTAATAACCCTTAAAGAAGCTAGAGCAAGGCCTAATTGAAAATGAAGCAAATGGTTTACATGTTGAGTTCTACTTACAAGTTTTTTGGGGTCTACAAGAAGCCCATGTCAGCGAGGATACCACCATTAGCATCTTTTTCTTCCTTTCATTTATCTTCACATTGTTCTCCTTATTGATAGAGTTATCTTCTCCAATCTATTCAAGAAAAAACCTTTATGCTATATTTTTAGTTCTTTTGATATTATTTCTATACAATTGATGGATAAATCTATTGATATTGTTGTATATATACTTTTGTTTGTTTTGAACAGTTGATTTACATCATTAAAAGAAGCCAAAAGTAACAATATGGCTAGGAAGAGGTTAGATCTCTATTTCTGGTCTTAGTTTCACTTTAGTTACTTTTTCTTTTTGTGTTGATGTCTTATTATTTGATTGTTGACATACGAATTTTGAGGCTTTCATCATTTTACTCAAAAAAAAAAAAACAAACTCTAATAGTGTCTGAAATTATAGTAAACTGAAATTATATATATATGCATATTAAATTTGTTAATGCAATACAGTTTTCACAAGCTATTGAAATCATTGATTCCTTGTATGATTTTTGTTTGGTGAGCTATATGTTTAAAGATTCATACTTTATTATTATTATTTTATAAAGCTTATTAGAGTCTTATATATGAATGATTTATAAAAAAAAAATCATTTATTAGCACCTGGGCTGCATTTCTATGTTTGATATGAGTAGAATATGTTGCTTGTATTTGAATCTTGTTAATGTTGATTTACATTGTAGAATTAGCGATTTCTTTTACTATTTGGGTTAGCCTATAAAAATCCGCCTTTTGTTGCCTAAATGATTAAAGAAAGAAATATTGGAATAGAAACGAAGTTAACTTGCCAATAGCACCTATTAGGGAATTTTGAATTCCAGAAATAGCAACTGGGCATTTTAGTTATGTAATAGAATTTTATACCTTAAAAGGTTGTGTACATGATCATGGAAACTAAAGTGGCCCAATGTTTTGTGAATAACCAATAAATAAACGAATTTGAATTCCTTGCCTCTCGCTGCAACTAATACACAAAAGTGCTTCATTTGATGTTTGTGATTGACAGATTTTGAAGAATACTGTGATACCAGATGCTCCCATGTTTAAACATGAGCTTCCTCTTTAAGGTTTATTCTTCCACTATTGGTTATTTAATAATTTTTGTATTTTTTTTATTAGAAAGTTCTTATAAAAGTCAAAGTTTACCAACCTTTTGCAGCAACATTTCCAGAATTGTTCTTCGTACTTGTGATTCTCCCTCTCTGTACATATATACAATATATGATATCGCCATTTATTTACTTTGATCATTTTTCTACATGTTGGAATAAACCAATTTGCATTGGCAAACATTCCATTGGTTGTCATTACAGTGCCACTAATTCAATCATAAAAAGATGTGGAAAACTTAAAATGATTTTTGGTCATTTCACTTTGTTGTAGTTGTTGTAAGTAAATCTGCCATAAGCTATATCTTTTGAACAACCCATTCTTTACATATTTCTCCTGTTCTTTCCCTGGTCATTCCCAATGCCAGAAAATGGGGAAGGACCCTTGGAATTGGATGTCTATGACTTTAAACGACCTTATTTTACCCTTGCCATGTATAATGTTGACCTGGTTAGTCTTTACACAACTCACCTGCATATTAAATCTTTTCTTATGCCACTTTTATAGCCTTTTGCCTCATCATTTGGATTTTTGTGAAAATTTGTTGGTCTATTTAAGCATTTGCAAAATCGTAGAGGCAATGGCATTTGCAAACAATGGTCTCTCCAATTGAGCATAAAGAATACAATTCTTAAGAAGTATGATGGCGGGTAATTTGTTTAGGAAAAGCTTGGTCAAGCGTTATAATATTAATAAAATGAAATATATCTGTATAATACCATTTACATCAATATTTTCACTATCTCAAGTTCAACCGTTCTAGGATATATTTACAGAGTTACATGAATAGAAGTGGAAGAAGCAACTTGAAGAACTCTCACTATGGTTGGTTTTTATATCTTTGATGTATAGAACCTTAATGTGCCCATTCACACTGTTTTCTAAGACATATATGCTTCCCCTAGGTATGAGCATCAATTGTTCGATGACATGGTGGCATACATCATGAAGAGTGATGATGGATACGTTTAGGCCTGTAAGAATTATGTCGGAGATGTCCAACGTGATTTACTTACACAAGATGAATGCTTGTATAAATAAAGACATAAAGAAGTAGATTTTGCAATATCTAAACTAATTATTTAAGTCAATAGTTTTCTTGTTGACTGTGCTTCAATGAGTTTGCATGTATATTTTATGGTTAACCCACTATGCTGAACTGTTCCAGATAAAGGATAATAAAAAAAAAATTGGATTTTCTGTTGAGAATTTGATCGTATAATATGCCACCGGCTATGAGGATGTCACGTAAAATTTGATCAAATTAGCGAACACGAGTGTGAAAGTTATATATTTTTAGTTTGCTTTTACTGCACTGGCAGTGGTGTTTATGTTATGTGTCATATCAATAGTGCTTCGACAATTATCTTCTGTACTTCTTCATGATAACTTCAAATTACTTTTGCTACAGGGAGTGTCAAATATAGAAGGTTGGAGTAACAATAATGAATTCAAAGAGCTCAATATCCCACATTATATTTACATCGACAATCGAATCCTGGTGCAAGGTAATATTAGCAAATCAGTATAGTTTCAATTAGTTCTAAAACTTATCTAATTTTATAGGGTCTAGCAATCTTCCATTTTTAACCACATGGATAAACACACTTTTTTTTATGGTTTTCTTCTTTTAATCTAAAGTTTTCCCTCTAAGTTCATAGCATTTAAGATACATAAAAAGCAAAACTAAGTGAATATTTATTAATATTTTTTTTCGTCCAAGAACAACGAACGTGTTAGAATGTAACCTTTTATTTTGCAAAATTTCACTCTGCCTAATATGATTGATATGTTTGACATTTAGTTTAAATTTTGAAATTAGTACTTTATTCATTTTCTTGCAATAAATCCTCTCATTAATCCTCATCAAAGTGCTTTGGTATTTCTAAGACTAGCAAAATTAGCTTGGTAGACCAGGCCGGATTTGAGATAAATGTGCTTCATGATGCTACTAAAGAGCACGTGGGAAAATACATAACGACCTCCATGTCACAATTTGGATACGTGCAATGAATATTTTTAATGAGTCATCCAATGCATCTTATTTGATTCTGGTTATATTCAGCATTTACGTTTTTCTGGTGTTGTCCTTTTCCTTCCATCTTTTGCTCTTAATGATCCTTTAACTTGTGATGCTAAAATTATCTTAAATCTAATTCTGCAAGTATGTTCATGGTTGCACGTGAATAAACAATTTTGATAATATTTGCTAATGTCTCTACAATTGGTGTTGGCTCTTATTAAATATCTTTGTGAAAATAAGTCTCAATAGGAAATCTTAAGAAGTTCCATTTAGAATTTCCTATCTAACTCATCTGCCGAGAGAATCATTTGGTGGCAATCCTAAACTCTTCATTATCTGTGTCATTGCTACGGACAACAAGTACTGCACGATATAATTTTCCTTTCCATAAACAAATAAGTAATAGATGTACTTTGGACTTGTGGACCATGTTCTTTAACCAATTATTGATACTGGTGTTGGTGATTTTTTATTTATTTTTATCTATCTTTTCCACTTAACGCATATAAGTGGTGCACACTTTTTCTATTTTGGGTCTACATATACACCATACTATATTTAGCATTTTTTGTTCACCAATTAGCACGGAATTTTTCAAAATATTGCGTAGGGATGTGGCTATATTATATTTTTGGGTAGGAATGATGAATGTTTAGCTTCCTCATGCATTTTGAATATTAGAGAAGCTAAATGAAAAATCTGACTAAAAATATTAGAAAAAAGTTAAATTTGAAAGTAACGGCTCTACAATTTATTGAACAACTTCTACCATTTCTCATACATAAATATATATACTATAAGAATAGTATATTTCTTATACATACACTCTGTCTTTCTATATATTTAAGGTAGTTTATCACTAAATTAAATCTATACACTATTTACATTTCGATTCTAGAAAATTGTCTTTAAAACCATTTAAATAAATAATGCTTCTTAATCATCACATCTTCATGTTATGTTAGTTAATTACATTGGCCAATCATTTCTTTTATAGATGTTCTATTAACTATATTTAATTGTCTTTTTTTTTCAGATTTTTACAACAGCAATGTCAACCCCACTATATACCACCAAACTTCTCAAGATATACAAACATGACTCTCTAAATTAATTAATAGGCATAGACACTATAACTCTACTTGTTTTTTTTCAAAGCACCAATATAGTTAAAACTAACAAGCTCAATTTCCGTCATTTTAGTCACAAATTGAAAATTTTACGATATTAAAGCTTCAAATGGCATGTGTAACGCCCCGACCCCAAGTGGATCGGAACGCTACTTACTTTACTTAGCTTAACCGGTAGTTTAGTAACAAGTGTATATGTTTTAGCGGAAGCTTACATTTTCGGATAATAATTTAAATAACAATACTTCAAATACTTTAAAGAAAAACACTGAAAAACTCAATAGGTGTCATAGGTGCATTCATGATCAAATTATACATTTCAAAACATTAACTTTATAACTTTTCATACATGTCGTACCCGGAGGCACCATTTGACATGAAGGGATATGTCGTACCCGAGGGCACCATTTGACATACGAACATTTCTTCAACATAGAGGGGTATGCCGTATCGGAGTACCATTTGACATACAACCATTAACATAGAGGGATATGCCGTACCGGAGTACCATTTGATATACAAACATTAACATGAATCAAAACTTACAACTTAACACGATTAAACACATTGCACCTCTACCTACCTTGATTGATGCTTTTGAAATTTTGAAAACTTGGATTGAAAATTTCGATGAAATTTAGACGTTGAAAGAAACGCACTCCTTGGATGTTTGAAAACACGTTGAGAATTGATGCTTGAAAACACTTCTTAAACTTCTAGGAAAAATAATTTTCCTCCCTCTTTTTCTCTCTTGAAAACTCTTTCTTTAGTATGCAAAAGCTCTTGCTTTTGGCATGAGAAAAAATGAGTGAAATAAGGTCTCTATTTATAGGTAAATATTCCATAACTTAAAACAAATGAAGGGTCAAATTTTATTTAAGAGAGAAAACATTGGTGTCATTTAAGTTTGAGGTTAAATGCTTCAATTTAGTGGGATTTTTATTGCCAAAAACGTGGGTAGCCCTTTGAGAAAATAATTGATGAAAATAAATATTTAAATTCTAGAGAAAAACAAGAATTTTCATTTCAGGCAGCTTCGGTCGACCGGTTGTAGTCCGGTTGACACTGCACAGTTTTCAGTGTTTCTATCATAACTTCTTCTCCCGATATCCGATTGAGGTAATTCAAAGTGCGTTGGAAAACTAACTCAAAGAGCTACAGCTTTTATTTAGATATCATTTTCCAAATAGAATGTTTCCTATGTCGAAAATAGGTCTCAAATAAGACAAAAAATCTGAAATATACTTTAGTCATCCAATATTCATGTCTTAGTGCCACTAAGGTGTCTAGAATTATTTGGGGTTCTAAAGCATGAGCAATTCCATATATTTACAACAGGTAAAGGTAGTTCTACCTTTTGTATTCTCAATTCAAAAATTCTTGTTTTATAACATTTTTTCTAATATAATTACAATTCTAGATATAGTTTACTCAATATTTTTGTTTTATGTTATGCGGAAATCAGTACGACAAGTAAATACTGCCTACAAACTGGAAAAATAGAATCAACAATACATAAAAGGTATTTCCACTTAAAATTACTACATTCCATTAAGAAATTGTATTACTCACTAACATACGATGGGAGATTCATTCAATTCCGCTATATGTATCCATTTTTTTTTTCCAAAGATGCACTAATAATTACACCCATTTATATTTTCATATAACTTCAGCTTCTAGCTTCTCAACAAAATTACCATTTATGCAAAAAACTTTTGTATATTAAATTTTTTTATTTAAATTAGCATCTAGATGCATTGAGAGTAATCACATTCTCATATGAAAAGGCAACAAATAGGTTCCATTTCCAAAAAAAAAAGAGAGAGAGAGAGAGAGAGAATTTTACAGCAATTTTTTCCATCCTTGGCTTATACACAAATGTTTTACAGTTGACACATGTCCATAGTACTTTAATCCTTATCCTTTCAACAGTCAATTCTACATTGAAAAGTCTAAATATGTATTAAAATATTTCTCTCCTCTAAATTTTCTATAAATATTGCACTTGGTACTTCAATTTCAGATTATGCAAATAGAATACACGATTAGAATTCTCTCTTACATCTGCCAACACTTTGCATATTCTAATATCAGTTCATTCCTGGTAATTCTTTACATCTCCAATCTAAAATTCTTACTTCATCTTCTTACATTAACAACTTTCTTACATTTTTTTTTAAATATAGTTAGAATGTTATATTCATAACTACAACTATTTCTACTTTAACTTATTTGTTCAAGCAACAGATAGATATCAAAGATGACTACTCTCTATAAGCTTATCCCACAAATTTCTACATCAGAAAGTAACGGGTCTGCAAAAGTCATTATCGCAGGAAAACAGCCACTAAAAACTGCTCGTAGTTCTATGACCCGATATCAAGACCTCGTTCTAATAGATTTGAAGGTAACTATGTATTAATAATTATAGCAATTTTCAAGCTTTCACTATAATTTTATTTTATGTTCATGTCCTCATCTTCTAACATTAAATAGGGTAACAAAGTGACAGCTACAATTTATAATGCAAATATTACAACACTTAACAATCAGCTCATACTCGGAAAGACATACATAATCTCGAATGCTACTGTGAAAGATAACAAAAGTGAGTTTAAAAGTTCACATGAAGAAAAGATTTGGACTATAACAGGGAAAACAAAGATCGAAGAGCTCAATGAGAATAACTTGAACTTCCTCTTTTCAAAATATGAGGCCATTCCATTTCACGAACTTGAGAAGCACATGGATAAGAGCGTCAATATAAGTAACATTTCTAACTTTACAACTAGTACTTCTATGCATTATTTTATGGTCATTTTGTTTGTATTGAAATTTACTACATACAAAATGCATAACAAAGAAGATTTTCCTGTCCTTCCAGATGCTATAAGAGTAGCTATAGATATTCGACAAAAACGAATTATCTAAACTCACTTAGGTACAAAAGCCTGTCTTCGGGACATTATATTAATAGATAAACATTTTGAGACAGTGATGCTAACCCTATGGGACATGTTTGTTGAACGGGAATGTGTTGCCATTGTTGAAAACCTAGCAACTAGACCTGTCATATGGGCTACAAATCTTAAAATTTCTTCATTCAATAGTAAGTTCAATATAAACATACCATTTTATTTACAATGACATTACAACAAAAAATGTAGACACATATTAGTAATGATTCTTTTTTTTGCAGGCATTACACTCTCGACTAAAGTCAACAACAGTATCTTCATTAATGCTAACTTATTGGCTGTTGCACACTATAAAGAATGGTTTAGAAACATACCTAAATAATATCTTAACTTCTTTTAGATATGTTCTACATGTAATTGTATAATTCTTTCATGCAGGGTGATAGCAAACAAAGAAAAACTTGACAAACTTACAGAAAACAAACCATTTGTTACTCTCAGCCCGACAAAACTGTCACCTCCAGCTGAAAATAAATTCACACCAATTACTGGAAGTCTATCTAGCAGTATTTTCTCAACTACTTCATTCAATATTATATAGCCTAAATATATTTTTACTACATTTCATAATAAACATTATGAAAACACCCAACAATTTTAACCCTTAGTATTTTAATACTTTACTAACACATATCACAGAACAAATTCTATTGGATCTAGGCCCATTGGAGAGTTATTGCAACACACCAAAAATTTTGGTACATGTCCTGAGGTAATTGCAAAAAAGCATCCAATGTAGACTTCAGACAAATTGACAAATGTCGATTTTGCAAGTATGAACATGCAAAAGTAGTACCAAGGTAAATCGAACATTTAAACATAATTTTAAATATTTACTAACATCAATACTTTGTTCAAACAATACATAATACCTAATTGAAAACAATTTATCCACAGAGCAAATGCTTTTCTGCACCTCGAGGATAGATCTGGAGAGTTAGACGCAAGCATTATAGGCGAAGCAGCAGAGGCATTATTGGAAACTAATGCCAATGAAATAGTAGACCATTTTCAAAAGGTAAACACCAAATACTAACATCATCTAACATTAATTTTTTCGAAGCACCAAAATACAATAGTAAAATGTATTTTATCTATCACAGAATTTAGATGGAGAGCTGAACAATGTTATGAAAACTAGCAGTGAAAGAGAGTCGCCATTCTATATAAAAGTGACACAAAAAAATACAAAATCCACCCGAACACCGCTATGAAATCATCTTCATCTTCAACTCTCTACCCATCATCACTGATGTGAATTCCTCACCTGCAATCATTGAAATAAATCCTTCAACTGCAATTAGTGATTTTAAGAATTCAATTAAGATGAACAAGAGTTTAGACAAGAAAAACACAAAAGGGAAAAACAAAGTATGCAACACCGACACTGAAGTTCTCAAATACACCGAAAAAACGATTGCAATCTCTGCAAAAAGGCCTTTCCTCCAAGCACTAGATGAAACTACTGAAACAGAATCGAAGCCAAAAAAGAAGAGTAACACAGCCTCTAAATTTGATCACTAGACTAATGTCCTTGACTTGGAAGAAAAAACCAGTCATAAAATAATTACAATAGTTTTGTGACAATAGGCAATTACATATAATATCCCTAAGGCAACTTTATCTGCCTATGTGTAGGATCTTAAGCCTTAGTCTTTTGTTAAAGTCTACTTGTGCAGTTGGTACTAATAATATTTAAACGTCTTTTATTATCATTAAGAAATAGTCTTCAGTGCTTCATTATTTCGTGTGGATTTTATTCAACTTTTCTCTTTAATTTAAGATTGGATAAATTATCATTGTCCCAGTATATAATGGATTTAATTTTTCTCCTAAACAATGTTTTCCCCATTACTCCAGTTTGACATTCACTGATTCAGTAATACCATTTTTTCTCTTTATGATGGTTGTATTTCTTTCACTTACAAGGTACTTGTTTCTTTATGAAAAAAAGTTACACTTGCTTTACATTTGTGTCATAGCTTTATTCTAGCATGTGCATGTAAATAATATTTGCGATCTTGTCTTATTATTCTCCTTTACTAAGTAAAAGCAAATAATGTCATTTATATGAGTTTTAGGTAACTCAATCTTTTTACAATGTTCCATGGAATTTCAATAGGAAATCATTTTCTTACATTTATTTGCGTTATTGGATATACTATCTCCAAAATACAACAAGTATTATGTTTCTTTTGAGAATGAAGTCTATGAATGCTCTTAATATTCCTATGTATATTGTCTTATACTCTTTTTCCCAGATTTTCTCTTGTATTTCAGCGTAACTTTTTGAATAAAATGTTACTCAAGATATATGGTGATTTACCAGATTTTCTATTGCATTTCAACATAACTTTTTGAATAAAATGTTACTCAAGATATGTGGTGATTTAGCTGAATTCATAAGTGTATAAAGTTAATGGATACATCAATAATAGTTTTGGAAAACATTATCAAAACTACTTTAGATTGATTAATTCTCTATTAATGTCCCTTGAGCATAAGCAATTAATTTTAGAATGCATATTGGATTTTCATTAACATTCAACACGTTAACATTACTTTAAAAATAATACAATGCATGGGCTAAAAACTAGTATGATATACAAGTATAAATAATATAATAAGTGTATAGCTAAAAACCATCCTCCTAATCTCCAACTCAGATCTAAAATATAAGGGAAAACATTCACAAAGGAGCTAAAATAAATAAATAAATAACAACAACAACAACAATAATAATAATAATAATTGTTACGCCCCGCACCAAACCACTTCAGAACACCTGTCTCTCTCCTCTACAAAGTGCTACATGTCACTACAAAGTGTTTTCGAAGTGGTGTCGACTTCGGTCAAACTCCAACTTGACGCTCCACAAGGCACACACTTCACAAACTAAATCTACTGAAGTGACCGAAGCGTCCCTATAACCGAAGCGCTTGGCTATCCGAGGTGCTCCCTTAATAGATACCTCCGCCGCCAGTTTCAGAAGCATATCTATGTCAGAATCCTCTATGGATGTGACATCTCCATGGGTCTAAGTGATGTGACATCAACTTTATGTCAACTTAACTTAGAAGAATTAATAACCCGCCCACTCTGGACAAGGCTGATTGACGACTACGATGCTCCTTGTCTATAAATACTCAAGGTTTGGAAAAAGGCAAAGGTAATGAAAGCTTATACTAAACTTAGCTCTCCACATTCAAGCATTATATATTCTCCTCCCCGCTCTCTTGCACAATTTCGGCACCGTTCTGATCATCGACCACTGACTTGATCGTCGGAGTGTATGCGGTCGCCATCATCCCCGTTGGTTTCGGTCGTGTGCTCTTGACCATGTGTTGTTGTGCACAGGGAGGAACACGTGGAATGGCTCTCGATTGGCCACGTGGAGGTAAAATTCACGAGGTCAACAGATTGGCACTGTCTGTGAGAAAAATTTGAACCAAAGGATTCCCCATTTACCATCGGAAAAAAGCCATTGGAAAACTATTGACTTACCTTGAAAAATGGACGTTCTTGAAAAAATGACCAAGTCAACTTACAGGTTTATAACACCCTTGACAAAGGAGTGGGAAAATGAGCTTTACCAATGAGGACGCAAATCTTGAAGGGCATATAGATGCCTTTGAAGAAGACGTGCTCCGCACCAATGTCAAGCATTGGAAACCCCATCACCAACGTCTCTGAGGCAAAAGGACAGCAGCACTCACTGAAGGGATGACTCAAATAGCTGCAAGCATGAGAAACATTGCAACCCAAAATCTGGCGATGCGTGAATTCTTCATGCAAGCCCAAGGTCAGCATGGCTTTCCAATGCCACAAAAGCTATACCCAGCTCAAGGGCAAAACCCAACATCACATGCTCAGGGTCATTCAAGGTACCACAGGAAACACCCCATTGAGAGAAAAGTGGTAGTGGATGTCACTTCTTATACTCAAGTGCTCACACAGTAGAATCACAACTGGGAGAAAACTTTCCACTAGAATACGAACATCAGAGGTCGGTTCGTGTCTTTAATCGGATAGGGTGAAATCCTAGCAATAGGGTCAGCTCCATACAAAGGTCGGCTCAGCATGTGCAGGAGCAAGAGCAAGAATAAGAAGAAGAACAAGAGGCGTCCCCTCCGCCTAGAAATAGGCGGGAGAGGAGAAACCTAGTGGATTGGGATAGTCGGGAAGGAGCACCTCCACCTCCCCAAAATGCATCAGAGAGGAAGGCTCTAAAGGGTCATGTCCCTCTTACGAAATTGATAACGATGATAACAACTCCCTTTCTCCAGAGAAATCTGAAGCTTCCCAATGCCCGAGAACTTCATGCCCCCTAAAATCCCTAAGTATGAAGGAAAGGGAGACCCACAGAAATACCTCACTAAGTACATGATGCAGATGAGCCTCAAAGGAGCCTCGTCGGTACTAAAATGCAGGGCCTTCCATCTGACACCAGAGCTGTTAAGGTGTGGTACAGTAGATTATGACCTTTAAGCATCAGAAGTTGGCTAGTTTTGAAGAAGACATTCCTAAACCAATACCTCTCACAAAGGGAAGGAGAGGCCCAATGCAACGTCTACAAGATATGAGGCAAGCTCCTGGCGAGACGTTGAAAAGCTATCTCGCCAGATTCACTGATGAAATCACATAGTGCGAACAAGTCACGGATAGAGAAGCACTCTCAGCCCTAAAAAGAGGCCTCAACATAAAGAAATTGTTCTGGAGAGACGTCCGAAGCAAGAATCCAGGCACTTATGATGAACTGGTTGAGATGATGAAGGTGGAAATTGTCAATGAGGAGATGATTGACCATCGAAATCGTGCAGCTCAAGGACTTTCTCTGCCTCAAAGGCATATGAATCAAGGACCAGCGGCACACCTCATCACCCTACAATGGACCCAGGCAAGTCACACAGTAGCCCCCACATCCGGACAGGCATTGGCTTCAACCACTCTGAATGTAGTGCCAGTGTTGGCATATGAAAATGCTCCTGTCAAAGTAGGACCATTCGAGGGAACAAACAGCCAACGCAAGAAGAATAAGTGGGCAAACGGGCCCCTGGAATGGACAAAGTTCTATACATTTCACCAACTTTATGGCTATGACATCAGCAAATGCAGAGACGCACCTCGGTCCTTAAATCAAAGTAACTCACGCTTCTACAGGAGGGACCATTGTCATGAACCCTCCCGTAGGTCAACCTCTCCCAACAAGGAGTCGAGGCGACAGTGGGATCAATCACCTCGAAGGAGAGAGACAAGAGATAGATCTCGAAGAGAGTCCAGGCAAAGGAATCAAGCCCCAACAACCGGAGGCGGTACTATTCGGGAAATTGATACAATCGTGGGGGGACCCTACATCGGGGGTAGTACCAAAAATGCCCAGAGAAACTATAAAAGGGATGCAAAAAGACCCACCAATGATCACGTATATCGTCCACCAGTCCCATATTAATAGAATGGATCCAATCACCTTCTCCCAAGAAGATTCGCAAGGTGTTCATCACCCACACTGCGATGCATTGGAAGTAAGGGCCATTGTGGCTTGGAACGAACTTAAGCGCATGCTGGTTGGGAATGGAAGCTTGGTGAATATACTATTTAGATCAACCTTTAACAAGATGCAAATTGAGCATGGCTTGGTTTCCATGACCGATCCAATATTCAAATTCACTGGGGATAGTATCATTCCACGAAGATGAATAACTTTGCATGTTGAGATGGGATCAACACCCCTATTGGCTCACCACTTTATGGAATTTTTAGTAGTGGATCACAAGTCAGCTTATCACGGGGTGCTCGGCAGACCTACACTGAAGAACCTTTGGGCTGTAACCTCCATTCACCACTTATGCAGGAGGTTCCCAACTGAGCATGGGATCACAACGTTCGAGACGATTAGATGGGCTCAAGATCATGTTACCTCAACTCCTCATGTTACCTCAATTCCTTAAACACAGATGTAGAGATGCTTGACGTCCCTGAATAAGGGCAGACACCCGAGCAGGGAGAGACATCGACATGATTGAGGCCCCTGAAGAAGGAAACCCTCTTGATGAATTAGACCCTCAGATCATCGAATTTGAGCCAAATGCAACTCCTATGGAAGAGCTCGAGACTTTCCCTACCAACTCTTCAGACCCCAATCAGCTCTTGCGAATAGGGAAAGCTTTGCCCTCTAAGACGAAAGAAGAGCTGATGAATTTTCTAAAAAGAAATTTGGACGTCTTCGCATGGAAGCATGAAGACATAGTGAGAATAGACCTAAGGGTCAGCTGCCACCACTTGAATATCAACCCCATTTGCATGCCGCATCGGCAGAAGAGACGAGCACTCAACCCAGAAAGATATAAGGCACTGAAGGAAGAGGTCGACAAGCTAAGTCGGAACGGCTTCATCAGAGAAGCCATTTATCCGAAGTGGATATCCAACCCAGTGCTCGTGAAGAAGTCCAGTGGAAAGTGGAGGGTCGTTGACTTCACCAACTTGAACAAAGCTTGCCCAAAGGACAGCTTCCCCTTCCCAAGGATAGACTAACTAGTGGACTTCATCATTGGACACGAACTCCTGAGCTTCATGGATGCTTATTCAGGGTATAACCAGATACCCATGTTTTGACCCGATGAAGAGGTCACATCTTTCATCACATACCGAGGATTGTATTGTTACAAAGTGATGTCCTTTGGATTAAAAAATGCTGACGCCATATACCAAAGGTTGGTCAACGTGATGTTCACCGAAATTATTAGCAAAACCATGGAAGTCTCCGTTGATGACATGCTAGTCAAAAGCCTCTACGTAGGGAATCACATAAGTCACTTTGACACTACTTTTCAAATTCTAAGGAAATATAAGATGAAGTTGAAACTGCTGAAGTACACCTTTGGGATAGCATCGGGTCAATATTTGGGATACATTGTGAACCAAAGAGGAATTGAGGCAAACCTCGAGAAGATAAAAGCCTAATTAGAGATAAAGTCACCTTAGAAGCCAAAAGAGGTGCAAAGCCTTAATGGAAGGATTGCTGCTCTCAGTCGCTTCATCTCCAAAGCCACTAATAAGAGCCTATCCTTCTTCAAGATTGTAAAGCAGGGGAGGAAGCTCCAATGGACTGAAGAATGTGAGGCAGCCTTCCAAGCGCTGAAGAAGCACTTGGGAGAGGCCCCTCTATTATCTAAACCTAAACCGCACGAGATACTTCTATTTTATTTAGCAGTTTCGAACCTGACAGTCAGTACGGTGCTTGCCACGGAAGAAGAGGCATGCCAGGTCCTAGTATACTACATCAACAAAGCCTAGCTGCCAGTAGAGACTCGCTACCCAAACATGGAAAAGCTTGCTCTTTCCCTTGTTACCACGTCAAGAAAGTTGAGGCCATACTTTCAGTCTCATTCAATCGAAGTACTCACCAACTTTCCACTGAAACAAGTGCTACAGAAGATAGACGCTCCGGGTGTATTGCTAAAATGGGCAATTGAGCTTAGTGAGTTTGACCTACTGTTTAAAACCTGAAGTGCCATCAAGGGCCAGGCCCTCCTGAATTTTATTGTCGAGTTCGCCAAAGCCCCCAACTTGGAAGTCATTTGTGGATGGATCGTCAGGAAAAAGCAGCTCCGAAGCCGGAGTCGTCCTGGAGAGCCTGAAGGGCCATAAGCTAAACTGCAAAATCAGGTTTCGCTTCAAAGCCTCGAACAATGCCACAGAGTATGAAGCCTTCTTGGTAGGCCTCGAGCTGGCTAAAGAAATGCAAGTTGAAAGATTACAAGCCAGTAGTAACTCACAACTTGTGGTGAGTCAGGTTAATGGAAAATTCGCTGCCAAAGACAGTGGCATGGCCACTTATCTGAGACTAGTCCTAAACCTAGTCTCCCACTTTGAGAGGTTCGAGCTGGTCCAAGTCCCCACCTCAAAAATACACACGCGGATGCCCTGTCTAAACTTGCCAGCAGCAAGGGTTCTGAGCTGCTAAGAATCGTTCCAATCGAGAGTCTGCCGAAGCCTTCCATCTCCGAAGGTGAAGGAGTAATGTGGATTGAAGGTACCACATCTTAGATACATCTGATTATAGCCTATCTCAAAGATCAATCGCTACCACCCTCAAAGAATGAAGTAAAGAAATTGAGAAGAAGAGCTGCTCACTTCATACTTCAAGATGGCATAAAAGAGGCTTCTGATCACCCCTACTCCGATGTGTTGGAGGAGAGGAGGCCATGTACATCTTGAGAGAAATTCATGAGGGAGTCTGTGATAACCACGCTAGTGCAACAGCCCTGGCACACAAGATACTTCGACAAGACTTCATTGGCCTCCTCCCAAAAGGAAAAAGAAGTGCAACCTTTGTCGTTATCGCCATTGATTACTTCACTAAGTGGGTCGAAACTGAACCTTTAGCAAAAATCACTGAGGCAAACACCACAAAGTTTGTCTCGAAGATCATTTGCAGGTTCGACATTTTCCACTCCTTAGTGTCTGACAACAGAAGGCAGTTCGATAACAAAAAGATGCGAGACTTGTGTGACGAACTCAGCATAAGGAATGACTTATCAATGCCTCACCATCCCTAAGCAAATGGGCAAGTTGAGACAGTCAGCAAAATGATCAAGCACACCCTCAAAAGGAAGCTTGATGCCTCCAAAGGAGCATGGGTCTATGAACTTCCCCATGTCCTCTGGGCCATACGAACAACAAGCCGAATCGCAACAAGGAAAACCCTTTTCTCCATAACTTATAGAGACGAGGCCAGGAGCCCAGTCGAGGTAGGAGTCCCTTCGTATCGTCATATAAACTTAAATGAGATCAACAACGACGAAGCGAGAGTGTGAAAACTCCATCTCTTGGAAGAAAGAAGAGATTCATCCCAAGTCAAACTGTCTGCGTATCAAAGAAAGATGATCCACTATTACAACTCAAGGGTCAGAAGCCAAACTCTACGCTTAGGCGATCTGGTACTAAGAAGGGTGTTTCCATCATCAAAACTAATAGGTTTCGGGGTTTTGAGCCGAACTGGAAAGGTCCGTACCGCATCATCAAAGAGTCCCGACCCGGGACTCAAGAAATCGAAGATATGGCAGGGAAACTATTGCCTCATCAATGGAACATTGAACACTTGAGAAAGTATTACCAATAAATAACTGTCCCGATCTGACCTGATTGTGATCCATCAACTGTTGTAACTTATTCCTATCTGACTAAGTGCTTGAATTGCCTTAGTGTATGATTGTTGAATTCAAGTTATTTGAATCTTCAGTTCGTCGTTACATTCGATGGATTATCTTTTGCATCAACCGCTTATTGATGGTTAGTAAAATTAAGCAGTGATCAAATTAAAATAGAACAGACAGTTTAGCACGAATGAAAGAAGTGTTAACACTTGGCATAAAATTTCATTTCATTAGCATCAAATGAATTACAAATATGGGCTAAAGCCATTACAATAGTCCTAATCTACTTGTACAACTTGCTTCTCCGCGGTCGCCACCGCTGCCTCCTGGGGAGCCTCGACAGCTTCCTAGGCAGTCCAGTCTGGTCAACCTCCAATAGGTCCACCGAACTCTACCTTCAAAACAGTTAGGTCCAAAGTAGGATGGACCTCCTTCAAGCGATCCAGCATAGTTCAGGCATTCCAAGAAGCTCAGAAGTTGGCGAAGTCGTCATACATAGGGTGTTCTTCGAAATGGTCAATGAAGTTCTGCACCGCTGACTCCTCTACCGCCTTCACTTCAGCTTTCAGAGAATCAATCTCCTCAGCCTGGGATTTTGCCCACTACCTCAGCTCGGCCTTTTCTTGGTTTGAAGCCTCCAGAGCTTTAATGGCCAAACGGTAGTGCTCGTTGGCATGACCAACTCACCTCTCAAAGCAGCCACCTAACAATCCACCTCATACAGCTCCTTCTTCAGCCTCTCTACCTCAGCATTGGCTTTCCCTAGTTGGCCCTCCACTTCAAACTTTTTTCTTCTCTACTTCCGCGGCCTTAGCTTCGGCAGACCACACTACATCCCAGTAATGAAGAGCCACCTCCAGTCGCTTCGCCAGATCTTCCTTTTTAGCCCAAAGATCTTTCACAAGACCCTCCAACTGGAAACTAGTGCTGAGGGCTCAGATAATGCAAGCCCTGCTCACTACCACGAGGTCTTCGACAGTACATGAGGCCGTGTGGTCCCTCCACACCTCTGTCCAATACTTGCTATGGACCACCGCCACTGTCGCAATCTCAGGAGGCAAAGCCTCCAACACTTCCTTCACGGGCACTTCAGTGTTGGTGCCCAAGAAGTCTTCTTCCTTCTCTGGACGATCCATCTTCCTCCACTACTGCTCGGCACTTAAGCAATTGGGATAGTAGGAAGTAGCACACTAGGCGAGACAGCAGCAATAGCAACCTCGAAAGAAGGAGTGATCCTCTACCATATCACCACTCCGATGGGGATTGTAGTCTACCGGAGAACCGGACTGCTCCTCGTCACAATCGGCCTCTTTGACGGCCTGACAACTTTTTTCCTCTTCCTTAAAAAGGCTGCCTTCGGATCCTCTTCTTCCTCCTCCTCTACTCTAGCTCCAGCCACAAGGTCATCCGTCTACTTCTTGTAAGCAGAGGCGGAGGTCTTTAAGGCCCTCGTCTCGGCCATCATTTTCTGGACGGTTCTAAAATCAGGCCTCAATTGCCTATTCTTATTGAAGTCATTTGCAGCAAGAAATTGAAAAATTAGCACCAAGTATATTGAGTTCGAAAATCAACTCTAAAGGAGTTCACCTCAATTACTCACCTTGGGAGGCCATCAATTTGTGGGTTAAAAAATGAATGTGCTTCCTAATCAGCTCGTTGTACGACCTCCTTTTCAGCAAGAGCTAATAAACGATGCAGATGGTGTCGAAGTCCTCTACGGATAACTCGCACAGAGGAAGAGTACCTGCATAAACAACAGTTAGCAATCGATCTAAAGCAGATAAAGATTTAATAAATAGAGCTCCAGTACTCACTGAGTGTTGAATGCTTAGTGGGGACTGTAAGAGGTACCAAGGGGTCCCCTTCCATCGTACCCCACCGTCCGGAAGCCCAACACCATGAAGTTTTCCAGTCCTTTATCGAGCTCGACAGGTCCACTACGAATGGAGCATGGGCCCCCCAAGAGGTTAAGTAATACCACCCCTTCATCTTGTCACCCCCGTCGCGACCTTAGGGATGTATAAGGTTTGGAAGACGGAGAAAGGCATCTCCATCCCGTAGGACGCCTCTTTCCAAAGCATCCACGACCCAACCATTTGGCTCCAAGAATTTGGGTTTAACTGGGTCGGAGCGAAACCATAGGACCTCGGAACGTACCTAAAGAAATGATGAATGGGTAACCTAAGCCCTGCCCTGAGAATGGACTCGCTAATGGCCACACACCTTGGCCTAGGGTAATAGGCCTGCTCATCTAGCTCTGGCAAAATCATACCCACACTATCTGGGACCCTATACTCTTTCCTAAGTCTATCGAGCTCGGCAGGCTAAAGTTTGAAAGGGCAATCAGATGCCCCCCAGTGTATAGAAGTGTCTACT